TTTTTTTTTAGTTATTCCGCTGCGAAATCGAAGTATATTCCCTCTCGGTTGTGAGTATACCGAAGAGGAGCCTACTCGATTCATTTTTCAGAATTTTGTTTTTTCTTTTGGTCATTCATTCAAACCAAAAGGAGAGTTTTCTTCAAGTGAATCGTTGGCCAGTCATTCAAGCCACGGTTCACCATATTGTTTGTCTCCCTCGGTCTTTTCATTTCAAACCGAGACGGAAATTTTTTTTCCCCTACCCCCTTTTCACTCCAATATGTGTGAGTATTGTGATAGTGATTGTGAGTATGAAGAGGTTTATGAAGAACCAGAATATAGAGAGCATTGGAATGTTGAAGACGTCTTAGCCAAAATACCAGAGACTTTAAGAGATATGTTGGTGCAAAACGCCAATGAACACAATATCGAGTTAAGTATTACTCTTCTTGAAGAATTATTCCAAACTAATGAGTTTTCTGAAATGATGCAAAAAGCACAGGTAGAAAGCATTGCAGAGGCGAAACCAATGCATGGAGACCTACAAACCGATCAAAAACACCATGACAAGGGTAATAACTTGGATGATGCACTCTCGGAAGAAGAAGAAGAAGAAGAAGAAGGAAGAGAAATAGATGCGATTGTGAGTGACCTCATAACGGAGGCAAAGAACCCCGAAGAAGAGGCATTACATCCATTTGAACTCATTCCATATCCGAGTACAATAAAGACTCCGAGCATCCCATTTGCATGGAGAGAAACCCAAGTTTGTAGTATCTTCTATTCTCCTATCTCTTTCGATTTTTGTGTTCCAAATGATATGTTTGCTTGTCTTAGTGTTTATGATCAGAAAATCCAACCAATAATCATGAAACTTCATGGTGTCGAGAAGCTCACGAGTGAGGGGGAATGGTATGAAGCACTCGTATGCTTCTCTATTAAAAATGACACAATGCAAGTATCCGAGTACAAAACGGAGGTGACATTACCTATGAGTTTCTACAATTCTCTGTCTCATAATTCAATATCATTAAACTTGGAATTCATTCATATAAGAACATTATTTTTACTTTTATTTGATAAAAATCATATGCTTGCATCGTTATATTTGGTTTTGTGTATTAAACGGAGTGTTATGGTCTCCGATATGTTCTCTAACCATTTCTTTGAGATTTTACAGCAAATAAACATGAATATAGGAAATTTTGGAAGCTTAAATCCAAAGGAACCTCCATGGAAAGAGTTGGAATGCTTGGATATAAGTCAACGCAACCACAAGGGTATTCGCTCTCCAAGATTAGCTTTTCATCATTTCTCCAAGCTAATCTTGAGGGGGAATGTTGGAGAACGAAGTAATGCTGAAGAACAAACCGAGCTACATAACTCATCTTTCTTGGACAACACTCGAGCGGTTGAAGCATTTGATTCAACCATAATATTAAAAGGCAAGACTAACACATGAAAGGGAGTTAATATGAGGATCATTTCTGCATAAATCAAGGACCAACAGATTGATACCCATCGTATCATGGTTGCCAAATATAGGAGACGTAATTTGCCTTCTATCTACCTAGAATAGGAATGTTTCCATTTCCTTTTAGATCCTCACAACGTTCATATGCATATTTTTCCTTTTCCTTTCTAAGTCTTTATTCTATATATTGTAAACAAATATTCATGAATAATAAGAAGAACCAAGTAACCTATTTGGGTTACCTTTCTTTATCTTCTTCGTACAAACCTTGCAGAAGGATACATCAACAATAATCTCTCTCTCCCTTTGATCTTCATTCTCCAATCTACTTGATTTTCTTCTAAAATCTTCAACGGGGTCGAACACGAGGACCGGTTGCTAAATCCAAATCTAAATCAAAAGTAGATCAAAGCAAGCAAGCAAGTGATGATGGAAGTATATGGAATCTATAGGAAACAAAATAAGAAAGCAATGAAAACGAGTAACCTATCAAACAAGGATGACTACGGGTATCGGGATCGTATTCGCGTGTATGGGTATATGCTAAGCATGCGAGAATAACGATTATGACTTGTATTCGGGAATCGTCAAGCAACAAAGATAGAGAATTCACCTCTCGGTCTACTAACTCACTACCTAGAATAACTCGTCAATCTCTCGATCTATTCAAGTTAACCCTAGGTGCATGAAGAACGCTATCATCAACCCTAGATCGATTAAACCATATCTCTATGTGAATAATACGATCTACCCTATTGATTTTGATCCGAAACCAACTCATATCTCTATGTAGTTTAGAATCTAAGATAATTGATCATGGGGTTAGCAAACATCAATCCAATAAAAGCGCAAATCAATAGAACCGAAACAAATCAAAACCGAAATCCAAGTTAGGGTTCAAACATACCCAAAACACAAACGAATCCCTAACCCATAGTCGTGGATCTACTCACGGTTCATGGAAAACAATAATAAGCTCTAAGAAAAAGAGATAAAAGAGAGGAATGAAAGGCTCATGCAGATGTGTAGTCTCCAAAAGTCTGTATCTAAGTGTTCTCTAAGGTTCTCCCTGTGCTAGGACGTGGCTAGGCCTTTTTTATAACCCTAGGGTGGCTCCCAAGAGTCCTTTTCCCTTTAGAACTCTAAAAATCGCAAATTACGGTTCCACCTTCTGTTTCTGGGCCTTCTGGACACTTGAACCGGACCGAAATGAGTGAACTCGGACCTCTGGAACCGGACCGGTTTCACTTTCTGATAGATTTCTCAGGCTTCGCGATTTTGCTCATAACTTTCAGCTCCAATGTCGGATTTGGGTGATTTTGGTGTCTCGCGAAGCTCTTGAAAGGATCTTGGATATCTTTCCAATGGTGCAAGTCTCGAATGATTTGGACTTATGTAGAGAAAGTTATTGATCTCGAAACACGAGTACCTCATTCGAACTTCATCTCTAACGCTCCAAAAATGTTCCTTTTCGCATCCAATAATCTTCGAAACCTGTAACTCTGCAAAACTAAAGCACAACCGAGTTTTGTGTCCTAACATGCCTAGAATGCCTATAAATGCATGTGATTATCCCGTAAAATCTAGACAAACTCTTATCAAAATATAGAGAAAAATAGAAGTTATCAAATCCCCCCAGACTTAAACCTTTGCTCGTCCTCGAGTAAAGAACGAAGGAATAAAATCTGCAAAACAGGGAATGACGAACATCAAATAGCATCATCATGAGGCTTAAAAGCAGAACATCCATCCAATACTAGTTTCCCGAGAAACGTACCCAAACCGGTCTACTATGATCTTCCTACCAAAGACTAACTAACCTAGCCATGGGATTTTTATTGCCACCTAGAGCCCGTTAGAATCTCTACAATTCACCAAGCCTATTTTCGAACCTATCCTTATCTTAACTTAGCCTTTTCGATCTTAGTTCTACTTCGTGCCTGGATTTTTACCTTTCTGTAGAATTTCTCTATTGAACGCTAGCACCTCGGGTTTCTAGGACGTTGAAGTTGAAGGACATCGTTTTTCTCTTCTCTTTTTTTTTCTTCTGTATTTTTCTTTTTATGCGATGTCCGACCCACAACTTAGACCCGAACCATCGATCGATGCACTAATGTCCTCGAACGATTTTCGTTGACGAGATTCTGATAGCGGAGTGTCGAGATGCTTTATTTTCCCAAGGCTTTTGTTGAACTAGATTTCATTGACGTGCAAGACTCGGAAAAGGTTCTACCCGAAACATATAATCTGGATATAATCGTTTCAACTCCGTAGGTTCCAAACAACAACCTCATCCCACAAACTATATATAGAAAGTCTAGAGAACTATCAATTTGACACGGTTCAACCACGTTCTACAAAGTCACTAGATCTTCAAGATGTTCCTACTCTATCATCCCAAAAATCCTCCAAATGATGTTCAAAACGGGTTTTCGAGGTATGCACGTGAACCTATATGAACCTAAATCTATATGATCAAATGCAATCATGCAAACCTAACAAAAATCTATCTATATGAAAAAAAGGAAAAGAAAATGTGAATGCAACTAATGCAAAATGATATGCAAAAGTGAAAAATTTTCCTAAATCTATATGCCATGATAAAATGCACCTAAACTAAATGCAATCCTAAGTAGATAGGCCTGAATGTGTGAAGGATCTATCCACCCCCCAAGACTTGAACCATACACCGTCCATGGTGTAGATTCTCACCCGGAAAAGTAGAATCGGAAACAACAAATGAGAAGAACCAATAAGAGGGATAGAGAAACTTAGCTATGCGAAATTCGTTCGCTCGCAATGAAGTTAACTCACGTCAAACGCAAGAGCTCTCACATACTCTGTGAATTGGAACCTATCCAACATTGTCTCTTAGAAGTCGATGCTCATCTCTCGTGTGCCGGTGTAAACGCTCATAGAACAACAAACGTTATCCGAACAAAAGCATATAGCAATGCATTCCGAAGGATCCAAAATACAATCATGGTCTCTACTACCTACGCTACGAAGAAAAAGAAAAAAGAAAAGTTACCTAATGCTCGGGTTGTCTCCCGAGAAGCGCTTGTTTAACGTCATTAGCTTGACCTATCTTGCTCAAACGATAGGAGGGTCTGAGAGTGATGAATCTGGAGGTCGGGGCGGTGGTTTATGCGGGTGTCTCACATATTCTGATTTCTCCACATGTGTCATCCATGCTTGATCATCTGCAATGAAAGAGTAAAAAACAAGTATGACACTATTAAAATGGCGCTTACTTGTTTCTACTGGTCTGAGGATGACATCTTCTAGTCGCTTTCTATCGTCTGAGAAACTGACATGGTCCGAGTTGCATGTGATACGGTCTGAGTCAAGTTTCTGATAGAAGTCACTCGCGCTTGTTGTGGCCCGATCAGTCTCAAGTGTATGGGAGATAGATTCATGTTCTGTTTCTCCTTCATTTAGCAATCGAGTAATCTCCCAAATCGCCTCGCAATTGTTGTAGATGTTCTCTTCACGTGTAATCATAGTAAGGGAGAGAGCAAACTAGTGTAGATGGTTAGAAAACAAAAACTATACATAGGACTCGACTCAACTATACACACAAAAAGACTCGAAAAAGACACGACTCAATATATACACAAGCAAGATCTAGAATCGATAAAGACCTAGAAATAGGCTAACCAGTCCTCGGCAACGGCGCCAAAAACTTGATACGTGTGTACCGAGTCTAGAATTTATAACCCGATTCACAACTCACCGCAAGGATACGAATCGTCGTAACACGGGTCGAACACGAGGACCGGTTGCTAAATCTAAATCCTAATCGAAGCTAAATCAAAGCAAGTAGAAGTGAAAGTGATGATGGAAGTATATCGAATGAATAGAAAATAAGGAAGCAAAACAATAAAAGCGAGTAAACTAGCAATCTAAGATGACCGTGGGTGTCGGGATCGTATTCGCGTGTATGGGTATATGCTAAGCATGCGAGAATCACGATATCGAATCTGTATTCGAGAATTGTCAAGCAACAAAGATAGAGAAATCACCTCCTGGCATATAACTCACTATCTACAGTTCTCTAAATCCATATCCCTATGTGATTTATCAAACTAGATACATGAAGAACGCTATCATCAATCCTAGATCGATCAAACCATATTTTTATGTGAATAATACGACCTATTCTATCGATTTCGATTCGAAACTAAACCCATATTCCTATGTAGTTCAGAATCTGAAATAATTGGCCAAGGGGTCAGCAAACACCAATCGAATAAAGCACAAATCGATAAAACCGAAACAAATCCAAATCACAACCAAGTTAAGGTTCAAACATACCCAAAACACAAACGAATCCCTAACCCATAGTCGTGGATCTACTCACGGTTCATGGAAAATAATAAAAAGCTCAGAGAAAAAGAGATAAAAGAGAGGAGAGAAAAGCTCATGTAGATGTGTAGTCTCCACGATCGAATCTTCCTTCTTCTTCCCGAAATCTCGTGAACTCCTATTCTTCTCTCACCAAAAGCTCTCCAAAAATCTGTATCTAGATGTTCTCTAAGGCTCTCTGATGTTCTAGGACGTGGCTATGGCTTTTTTATAACCCTAGGGCGCCTCCCAAGAGTCCTATTCTCATTCGGATGCTGAAAATCGCAAAACAGGATTTTTGACTGGATCCGGGCCATTTCCAGGTGGATCCGGACCGGATCCAGATTCCTGGGGTCGAATTCTGCGTTCTGGAATCGGACCGGATCCAGTTGGATCCGGCCCTACACTGCAGTTTTCTAGTCTTCACGAATTCGCTCGTAACTTTCTGCTCCGGTGTCGCATTTACTCGATTTTGGTGTCTACGCGAAGCTCTTGAAGTGCTTTTTCCAATGGTACAAGTCTCGTATGATTTGGACCTCTGTAGAGAAAGTTATTGATGTCACAATATGAGTACCTCATCCGGACTTCTCCTTTGACGCTCCAATTAGCTCCTTTTCGAGTCCAATCATCTCCGAAACCTGTAACTCTGCAAAACTAGAGCACAAATAGGTTTTGTATCCTAACAAGCCTAGAATGTCTATGAATGCATGTGATTATCCTATAAAACCTAGACAAACTCTCATCAAAATATAGAGAAGAATAGGAGTTATCAGAGTTCGTGGCTTTTTCCGGCGATTCCAAGGCCGATGAATCCTTCAAGACATTCTAAGGCTGCCCCTCTTTGCTTTCCAGAGCTCCCTTCCTCTTCTCTCCCTGTCTTTCTCTTCCTCTCTCTCTCTTTTCT